CACATATTAGAAATTAACAATGCTCTCTCTCTCTCTCTCTCTCTCTCTCTCTCTCTCTCTCCTTCACAAGCTTCATTTTTCATAATTTTTCTTCTTATATGATGTTAAATTATCGGAGCAAGCACCACTTTCTTTTTGCTCCTCAAGAAATATTAGACAACATGCATTCTTGGAGTATAGCAAGATTGTTGTGTGAAAAATAAGTGTAAAACTAGTAACTATGTTTGTTTATTTGTTTATTAACATTTCCCTTTTCTTTTTCAGGTTCAGTTCAAAGAAGATCAAGATGCATGTACTCTTGATGGTACGGTTGATATGCATGGCCGCCCTGCAATCAGAGCAAAATCTGGAAAATGGGTTGCTGGAATCATTATACTTTGTAAGCTCCATATCACCAAACCTTTTGAAATAAGTTTTAACAAACATTCAAGAAAAAATAATATTCAAAACAAACAAGATAAATTACTTAGTCGATTTTTCTTTTCTGGTTTTTTGTATGTAGTAAGCACACTTCTTTTTTCTTTTTTGTTTATATTATATGATTGTTAAATTGGTCAGTCTCAAGGTCCTTTACTTTTGGGTGGCTTTTTTTTTTTTTCCAAGAATTTTTGAAACAAATTGGATAGATAGGGTTTTTCTGCTGAAATGAATACTTGTTTATAGATAAGCAGTTGAAGAAGAGAGGTGTGATTCTCAATAAATAAGGTGAAAGGGAAAAGGACAATATAAGTGGAAGGAAATTGCAACATTTGGCACTGAAAACCAAACCAAGTGTTGCAGGAGAGTTGCTGCATGCTGGGCTATAGCCAGCTCATCACCATTTCAAAGATAGACATTGATAGCTGAAGTGAGAGGAGAAACATTATTTAGAAACAGGTCCACGGCGTGTCAATTAAATAATATAATGTTATGTGCAACTTTCGTTGCACATATATAACATGATTTTATTACACCGAAATCCTATGTGTCGTCGGTGAATATTTTCATGCAAAGAGACATAAGACATCTTATTATTTAGCCTTCAGTTCTACTTTAATTGAAGTGACTCAGAACTGAAGAACTAGGTAGACGACATGACGAGAACTGAGAAGAGGGAGTGAAGGTGAGGAAAACATGCATTCAAAGTAATGCGTGCCAGACGTAATAACTGTCTTAATCTTGCATTACATGGATTACCGACACGTGTCTTTCTTGAAAATTTACGTTACAGAATCTTTATTAAAATTTTGGAAGGAGCTAGAACCCAAACTTCAAATGATCCCTATTAATATGTCTTGGTTCATCTCTCAGTTTTATTTATTATCATTTTTACTTTGTGTTGATACTTTTAATTTTTAATATCAGACAAAAAAAAACAAAAACAAAGAAAATGAATAAAGGTACATGATTGAAGGTACAAAAATAGCATTTGTGTCATCTCATTGATATCGTTTTTATTTCTTCTAAATTAATCAAATATCTTCATACGTATATGATATCATATATTGTATGCATGTCTGTATCATAAATAAAAGAAACTTTTATGACACAAACACGTTATAAACACAAAGGCTTGTCACTTAATTTTGTCGAATTTAGTTGTATTAAATATTATCATTACTTTGCACCATACTACTATAGTTGTGTAAAATTAGGTCCTTATACAATATTTCAAAGCATGATTGTAAATCAAATAACTTGGTCACGCCCTAAAGCTTTTCTTCTTTTTGGTGTTAAAAGGAAAAAACCAATCAACTTTTCTTTTAAAATATTATAGGTATATATAATATAATATAATATGTATGTGTATATATGTGTATGTATATACAAAGGATTGAAAGCAAGACTATTAGGTAGTGAAATGGTTACAGGCCACACATCCATTAATTTCACTGTTGCACATGAACCTAATCATCTATATGTGCACGCTTTATGACTTAAGCATTTTCTTATGGCACTTTCTATCACTCTTTTAAAGAGAGCCTCTGTATGTGGCTGTCTTTGCTGTGCTTGTCAAGTAGCTAAATATATAGTTTGAGTGCACATGTATGATGACTGATGCTTATTAACGACCGGCCGATCTTCTGGTAGGAGCAAGGAAGAGTCTGATTTCGGTTAACTGTGATTGAAACTGAAGACGGACCAATTATTAATAATTGAGACTTGTCGAACATGCTTTTCATCAATTCTAGCCATATACGGGTTTCGATTTTGTTCTCGAAACGTTTTCGGAGAGATTTCTCGTTTCCAAATTTCCTAAAATCCTTGTGTCTTGACTGCTTTGTGTCAGCAACTCGGAAAGCGATTTCTCTGATCACCTAAAGCCTGAAAGTGATGCCCTTTGGAATGTATGTTTTTTTCTTTTTTTCTTTTTTCTTTTTGGTCAATAGATTTTGTTAGAATGTTAGATTAGCCACCGACAAGGTATGAACCCACACCGTCATGCATGAGTATTGCCTTTTGGTTTCGCCTTGTGAAAACTATGAAAAACTGTGTTTCATTTCATCGAAATACAAGAAAACTGATACATGGAAGCACACTTATATAAGAATTCATGTAACCAAAGATGGTTGGCATAAATAATTTAGACACAAGTCGTTGTATATTTTTGAATAACCTTCTGAACCTTTTCTTTAAATGTATTGTTCAATGAAAAACCAGTGAATCAAGGTCTGGCTACCCTAGCATTCTTCGGAGTCGGGGTGAACTTGGTCTTATACTTAACGAGGGTGTTGCAACAAGACAATGCGACGGCTGCTAACAACGTGAGCAAATGGACCGGAACAGTTTACATCTTCTCTCTTGTTGGTGCTTTCCTCAGTGATTCGTATTGGGGAAGATACAAAACTTGTTCCATCTTTCAACTCATCTTTGTCATCGTAAGTATCAATCGACCCCACCTAGTGGGATAAGGTTTTGTTGTTGTCGTTGCTTCTGTTTTGAATTTGCGACTAAGCGCATTACCTTGTGTATTACTTTACTTTTATTTTCCATGCGATGTTTATGACGCTTGCGTGCATTTGACAACAGGGTCTGGTATCGTTGTCGCTGTCCTCGCAGCTCTTCTTGCTGAACCCTAAAGGTTGTGGCAGCAAAGCAAATCCATGTGGATCTCATTCGAGCTGGAAAATTTGGCTGTTCTACCTCTCTATCTACCTAATTGCCCTAGGATATGGTGGGTACCAACCAAACATTGCAACATTTGGAGCTGATCAGTACGATGAAGAGCACAGCAAGGAAGGGCTTGCGAAGGTGGCGTTTTTCAGCTACTTCTACCTGGCTATGAACCTCGGTTCCCTTTTCTCCAACACCATATTAGGATTCTTTGAGGATGAAGGAGTTTGGGCTATTGGGTTCTGGGCATCCGCAGCGTCGGCATTTGCAGCATTGGTCTTGTTCCTTGGTGGGACTGCTAGGTACAGGCACTTCAAGCCAAATGGCAACCCACTCTGGAGGTTTTGCCAAGTCTTAGTTGCTGCGGTGAAGAAATGCAGGGCGCATATGCCACAAGGTGGAGAGGACTTGTACGATGAGAGTAACAATGAGTCTTCAACTAGCAACCGAAAGATCCTCTACACCCATGGATTCAAGTAAGAGTATGGCTTAAACTCATTAAATCATTCTACGCTCTTAACTTCGCTAATTTCCATAATTTTTATGACTTGAAATACAGAGCTAACTCATTTTCATAAACATTAACTGCAGGTTCTTGGACAGGGCTGCATATATCTCATCAAGAGATTTAGACTACCAGAAGCAGGGCATTCGCAGCCCGTGGCGTCTCTGCCCGATCTCACAAGTGGAAGAAGTGAAATGCATTTTAAGATTACTCCCAATTTGGCTCTGCACAATTATCTACTCAGTGGTTTTTACACAAATGGCTTCCCTCTTTGTAGAGCAGGGAGCTGCCATGAAAACTACTATTCCAAACTTCAGCATCCCACCAGCGAGCATGTCTAGCTTCGACATCATCAGCGTGGCAGTTTTCATTTTCATTTACCGACGGATCATAGACCCGTTTGTGGGCAGAATAAAGAAATCAGATGCTAAAGGGCTTACCGAGCTTCAACGGATGGGCGTTGGCCTTGTTATAGCAATCCTGGCAATGCTTTCAGCAGGAATCGTTGAGTGCTATAGACTCAAGTATGCCGATAAAGAATGCCCGCATTGTGACGGCTCAAGCTCCTTAAGCATCTTCTGGCAAATTCCTCAGTATGCATGCATAGGAGCTTCAGAAGTTTTCATGTATGTGGGTCAACTGGAGTTCTTCAATGCACAAACACCAGATGGACTGAAGAGCTTCGGAAGCGCCCTGTGCATGACATCCATCTCGCTCGGTAACTACTTTAGCACCTTTCTCGTGAGCGTGGTCATGAAGTTCTCGACAGAGGATCACATGCCCGGATGGATCCCCGGAAACCTCAACAGGGGTCACCTTGATAGGTTTTACTTCCTCTTAGCTGGCTTGACATCAATAGATTTGATTGTCTACATTGCATGCGCCAAGTGGTACAAGAACATCAAGTTGGAGGGAAGATTTGAAGTAGATGATGATCAAGGAAACTTGAAAGTCTGATGTATAAGTTCAAATCAAGCGGACATGTTAACAACATATGCTAGCAACTTATATTAAATAAGAAGAATGAGGTTGGCACAAAGTCGGCGTTCTCTTCGCATCTGAGCTGCACCAACACCGTACCTTTTTCAATCCAGGCTTGTTTGGTGGGTAACTTTTGGTTTAGGTCTCAGATCTCCCCTCATTCTCATTTGTTTGTTTTGCTGCTAGCCATAGATTCAACATGTGCTTGTAGAGAAACCTATTGTAATTAATATCATGGGACACTTTGAACTTGATAGACTAGCACGAGGCTCTGCATAACTCTCATACAAAACAATTCTCTTCCTGTTAGAAGACAGCTCCGGCGAATAAACATTAAAGCATATACCGAAAACAGCACTAAAAAGAGGAAACTCTATCACAGAAACCATAGCTTGATCTGGCATAGGTTTACTAAACACGGTCATACATAATGATATAGCTCTTCCATATATAGAGATTCATTCCAAAATTTACAGGACACGAAGTTGATAGTCTTTCTTCAGCCATTCTCTGAACGATACTTCACAAGATTTATCAACTAGTTGAACTGAAACTTCAATTCAAATACTAGCAGCTATAAAAAGAAAATTCCTCACAGGTTCGAAATCAACCTTCAACTTTACGAACTTGGATATGGTGAGAAGACTCTTTACGCCAGATTGGTTGTGCACCGCTTTGGACGAGAGTTACAAACTGTCCCTCTTTCGAAAGATCCTTTGCCTGTGCATGAACATATGTATACATTTTGATCATATACAATGACAATCGAAGCAGATAATGGAGAGGCAGATTGCAACACCAATAATCACTAACCACTAGCAGCTTTATTGCTCTTGAGAAAGTCTCCTCCGCATCATTTGAGAACTGCATATATATGGGGCGGACACCGTGATAAAGAACCAATCTCTGCTTAATTCTCTCTCTGATAATCACAAAATTGTGTCACAAATTTAAGAATGGATGGAGAAAACAACTTTAGATTATACAAGGATTTCCTATCTATTTCATCCAAAGTACAAGCACAAACCAACACTGAAGTAAAAATTGTTTTAGAAAAGGCTTGCCGTCAACATGTGACCCGAAGAGAGTACCACAACTTATTTGGATACTGGGCTTACTCGTTTGTGAAGGCAAAGATCGTTGAGCAAGGACGATAATGGCTTAAAAGCACAGCCATGGAACCTGTCCTTGTGAAAACAATGATGGGTGTATTGAGACTGTTTGCTATAGTTGTGGAATGGAAAGCAAACATTTCCCCCATATGTTTCTGTGAAAAGCATCCACTAAATAATCAGATTAAATCAGGCTAACCGCAGCATATGCAAAAAATTTAAATTCAATCAACGCGTCACCAAGAAATTCTGTAAACACATGCAAAAAATATCAGACCAAAAAGAATTCAATGCATACCTTAAAGGTCCTCAGTTGTATTGGAGGAATAGTGCTAACTGGTAGGCTTGACTCAGTCCTTAATGCTACAGTATGCATAACTTTGACAGCCTTCAATGGATACCTAGATTTGGAATCACAGAATGTATAAAACACTTTCACTATTAGTCCACATAATGTAAGCGGTTGAAATACAAGCCGGTTGCATTTTTGAATCAACCAACAAATAACTTAAGCCATGCACAAGGGAAAACAAAATAAACAGAATAACCCAAGGTTTTCAAATAAGAATCCCCTGTTAAAGTGAAAAAATTAACCCAAATATAGGATTACTTGCTCTCTCACTACTACAAACCTTCGTATGGAAACAATTGAATTGGTCACGTGGTAAACATACTCAGTTTATAACTTAAAGAGGAAGGAGGGAAAAAAGAGAAGGGGGAGGGGGGGAGAGAGACATTTAAACCAATCTAATTCATCTTTGATGTAATGGTATGACAAGCTCACAATCCGAAAACAACCCTGACAAACTGATGCATGAGATAACCAAATTACAACCAGGACCAGCACACAAACTGAATAAATTAAGCACTAACTGTATCTTACCGGGAATGAAATACAAGGTAGTCAGGCAGGGCAAACAAAATTTTCCAATAAAATAATGTCAAAATGCAATAAATAAATTAGTGGGACACTTGATATTATAGATATCTGCACAAATTTGATAAGGCAATAAAAATCGTTGTTGATCATCCGAAGATTGAATTAAAAAATAACATCAGTCGCTGATGAGAAATTTCCCCATCAAAGTGACGCAATAACTACACTTAAATAGTTTGAATTTTTATCCTGATGGAATCCAGAAGTATATACTGAGACCACCAAATGTCAAGTAAGACTTACTTTCCATGGGCAGTTTCTCCAGAAAGCATGATTGCATCAGCACCTGCTCTGACTGCAATTGCAATGTCAGAGACTTCTGCCCTGGTCGGCGTAGGATGATCAATCATGCTCTCCAGCATGTTTGTTGCTACAATCACTGGTTTCTGCACATTGCGACACCTTCTAATGATGTCCTCCTGTGAAGATACAGAATACTCAGTTACAGAATGACGTTCAGAATCAATCAGTAAAATTTAATTTAGAGAATTAAGGTTTTCATACGAAGAGGGTAAGAATTAAGAAATGCACTTAGATAGAATATAATTCAGTTATTCCTTCTCCCCATATTTCTGCACTAGGTTCCAGCCAGTCAAATGATCCTTCGTGCCCTCTCCACAAGGAAATTCCTCGTCCATTTTCCTAAGATCTTAGATACCCTAATCACCACAAGAAAAATGGAGAATGAAAGGTAGGCATTCTTACTCAGCACCAACTGAATTAGGGTAAGCCTGCCCCTTGAAAGGCAACCTTTTCCTTCACTCCAATTTTCTTTGGACCCTTTCAATTAGTTGATGCCAAGAGATCAAGGCACATAAATTGTCACCCAAGATACGACCTAGGTAACTCAAAGTCCAGTCACATAATTCTCCACCCAATGCTCTAGCTAAGATACATTGGAAGTGGAAAAATACAACAGTGATCAAATTACCTGCAACAGAGGAACTTCCTCAATTGGCAGCTCAGCTCCAAGGTCTCCACGAGCAATCATCGCCTATAAAGTCAACCGATTAAAAAATAAAACTAGATAAATAACATTTCTGATGGTAAAGATTTAAGGGTATGTTATGAAAAAATACAAACCCCATCAGATGCAGAAATTATTGAATGAAGATTTGGTATAGAGTCCGCGCTTTCTATTTTTACAATAACATGAATATCTGCATTGCAACCTACAGAAGGGGTGCATAAATTCAGTTTAGAAGGGTACTATAAATGACCACAAGGAAAAAATGTTATTGGATAAACTGATAAGAAATTAAAAAATTTACCTTTGAGATAATCTTTCAACTCGTGTACCACTGCAGCATTTTTTACAAATGATACAGCATAGAAATCAACTCCATTGTCCACTCCAAACTTGATATCTTCCCAGTCCTTTTCTGTAGAAGGGACCAATATAGCAGACCACTAAATTGAAGTTATGTGCCTCCTTGGGATTGTGAACACAAAATGGAAAATGGTGATCGTATAAATACCATTAACACTGAAGATACCTGTTATTGAAGGCAGAGTTGCACTTTTTCCACGCACGTTTAGATGGCGCCTTGATTTTAGTTCTCCACCATCAACTACCACACATTTAACCACATCTTTTGTCTTTGACTTTACAGCTAAAGACATCATTCCACCTATCACAATGACATGATATATCATCAGGTCCCTTAAACAAATGAGTAGATAAAGAAAAGGGGCGGGGTGATGGGGTTTGAGAAAAACGCTCTGTTAAAACATAGTTAATGAGCTTTAAGAATCCATTCAAGAAACCCTAACCAACAGGCTAAAGTAACAGTTACAACTAGTTGAATTTACTGAGTCAAAAAACACTCTGAGATAAATGGAGACCCATTCCTTCTTAAGAGGGATCCCTCTTTGCAAGAAATGGAATATACAACATTGATGGCCTACCCCGTAATTTGCTCTAATGATCCGAACCAGTCAAATTTTAGGTCTCCAATTATGAATCACTCCTGCGAAAATCAGCCCAATCAGGAATCGCTTAGCCATGTGATTATCCTCATTATCAATGTGATTAACCTCATTACAATTTAAGTATTTATCAAGAGCATTGTAGTAATCATTATCAAAGTGATTATCCGCATTACCAATTTGGCTGATATTTAAAGAAAAAGTGATCTTTGAATGATGACCCGCAAGGGACAGTTTAGATTATCGGACAAATTGGGGTGTCGGCCCACATGTGATCCCTTTCATTTCTTCAAAAGAGGGGTCCATCTTCGGAATCTTTGCTGTTATTTATATAATGAGGCAATTTCAGGAGCGGACATCCACACTACACTCTTGAAAATAGTAAAGTCCATTTCTACCATCCTTGTGTTCTTGCTCCTAATCCATTTATAAGTATGTGTGTGTACAAATGTTCCTTATCACATAGTAACATGTCAATCTAGATCACTCATCAGGTGGATTCCTTTCTTCTTTCCAAAGAAAATAACATGCTAGATACCTGGTAAAAGAACATGACTCTATGTATATCAAAGGACTGACTTGTTCACTACCGAATCCTGATATAAGGTATCTTTGATTCAGTATGACATTACTCCCATTGCATCTAGAGCAGTCAGAATTAGTGCAAGTTCTTTTTTGCTATCTCCTATCCCAACAAATTGAAGTTAACAACAGCAGCTAATTATAAAACAAGTCTAGTCTATAATATGGCATTTCCCATCAAAGTAATAAGTTATAATGCACAGCAGTTAAACAAGACATTAATCTATAGCATAATTACATCCCAGTTACAGAATTTTAAATCTTAGTGGAATTGCGTGAATAAACAAGGGCCCTAAATTTCTTTCATGAACTCGAAAGAGTGAACAACTTGATTTTCCATATTTCTGAAACTTTAGTTACATGACCATATCACATGGGATGAAAAACGAAAAAAATTAAATCATTGACAAGTTTATCACCCAAGAGATACAACATGCTTACCATCAACTAGAATAATGTCACCAACCTCCACGTCGTTAACAAAGTCGTCATAGTTTACGCTAACAGTGTCTGCAGTGCTAACTCCCCTTTTAATTGTGAAGTTAAACTCTTGTCCTTCTTTAAGTAGAATCGGCTGTGGTACATCTCCACTCCTAACCTCAGGACCCTGCACGAAGAATGAAAACCTATATAACAACTATAACCTCAAAAGTTTTGCATCAAAAGAAAAGAAGAACGAATGAGAATGAGATAATAATCCCTTGACACAGAAGACGCTAAAAATTGCATACAATGTGATAAATATCATTATTCTCTTACAAGTAGTGCAGCAGATATTTGAGAATGCAAAATTAACACATAGGTAAAAGTTAAAGAAAGTTTAAAATTAGAAAGACAAAACTCCAGCTCCTGTACAGAGGGTTTGGTCAAAGTTTACATAAAACAGAAAATTTGAGTTCACAAAAACACAAAATCATATATAAGGAAAAAAGAACTTTTAAATTATGAACCAAATCCTACTTTGATCCACGGCATATGAAATGATTGTAGCATCCAATGCAGCCATTCTCGATTGGAAAAACCTGTGCTCTTAGCTATAAGTTAAATAGGCTATAACCAGGTAAAGAATGAAAGAAAACTGTGATCAGCATACCTTGGTGTCCAGCATTATTGCTACAACCTTGTCTTCAAATTGAGAATTGTATTCTTTGACAATATCAATGGTTTTCTGATGAGATGCATGGTCTCCATGTGACATATTCAAACGTGCGACGTTCATTCCAGTTTCTGCCAGTTTCCATATCATTTCACGTGAGCTTGTCGAAGGACCAATCGTACATACTATCTTAGTTTTTCTTTGACCATCGGAAAATACCTTCGGCTGGCCCACAACATACTCATCAGACTGAAGTTCAAAAGTTGAGTCCAGATTCCCCTGAAACAATACAACACATTTCAAGGTTATAGATTCATTACACTCATGGTTGATACAATTAACTGCCCTCTCATGGCACACACAAATTTCACTACAAAAGATAACAAAGCTGGAAAAAAGTATGTAAGCACCCAATGCATTACTATCCAATTAGCGTATTTCATAAATTGTATGCTGTATAACACTCCCCGAAAAGCTGTTTTCAGCCAATTAAAAGGAACAGGCATTGTCATTTATCCTAAACTTTCTCAGCAACCAAACATAACAATATCATTATAAAAGTAAACGCTATAGGTGATTTTAAGTCTAGTTGAAGTAAAGGAATCGATTTCTGCTCAGTTGCCTACCAATTAAAAAATCCATGATCTCGAATTTCGAAGTTTTCACAGTTTACCCATAAAATCCGAGGCAAAATTGAGGTTACATCGTAAAACTAATTCACAATATGGGGCGTAACACAACTCTTTCCAAGCACACGCAACATCCTTTAATTCCGCAACATGGGATTCACACTCTCAACCCACCCCTCGCGCGTGCGGTCGTTTAATCCTAGACAACATGGCAGGTAGGCCGTTGCACTCAACACGTGGATAACCTGCTCTAATACCAGGAAGAAAGCTACGGTTCAATCATAAAACCTATTGGCAAGGGGGAGTACCCAACTCGTTATAAGCACGCGCAAGGTCCCTTAATTACTCAACAAGGATTAACGCTTTCAACACAATCAACAGCCGTTAAAAAATCATATTAGGAAAAGCAAGGAAAAAATACTTGGAACAAAAGGAAAACAGAAGCAAGAAAAAGAAAGCTTACAACGCCACCAAGAGGACCGTTGACATGGCCTCTGCTGCTGTCCTGGGTGATCCCAATTGATTTAACAGTACAAAATTGCTTGTGGTTCTTGTGGTTATGGTTGTGGGCATATTTTCTTCTGGGTCGGCAGTCGAACCCAACGGAACCAGTCAGGCACTTGGAGGAAGCTAATCGATCAGCGGCCTTAGTCTTGCCAGGTTTCAAGACATACATTCTCGCCGGAACATTAATAGTCGCCATTGAAGAAAAGCTTGGGGAGAGAGAGAGGGAGAGAGAGAGGGAGAGAGAGATGTTTTATGAGATGATAGGAATGAAGTGAGAGAGAGAGATTTTTGTGGTGAAAGAGGAGAGGGAAACAGGAGGACGAGAGAGTGTCTCGTTGGAGGCTTGGAGCAAACGAAAAGGAAGAGGTCAGTCCAGGATTCGGACAGTTGGGACTGATTTCTCTCACTCTGTCTAGAGTCGGCAAGGTCCCTTTCCTACTTTTTATTTTATTTTATTTTTTTAATTTCACAGAATTCGTCATTTAGTACTAGGTTTCTACTTGTATTCTTCTTCATTCATAAGTAAGAGGTTTTAGGTTCGCTTACCAAAAACGAATTTGAATCACATTATTGTTAGTCTATTATGAAGTTCAACCCACTCCCCTACCATTTAGTTTTGTTTGTTCAAAAATAAAAAGAGTTATTATAGTATTTAATGTTGCTATAATAGTATATGGGTGTGTTTATTATGTTTTATGCTTATAATAATAACATACATGTATCTCTACTAATTAATAAAATCCTCTTTATGAACTAAAAGATGATGAAAAAACAAATTAGTCTTCTATCACACACAAAAAATGATGGGCAATAATATAATTTCACATGTTCAAATTTTACTTTTTTTTATTGAAGTCTCAAGCGATATTAAAATACCTCTAATATTTAAGAAAACAAAAAACAAAAACAAAAACAAAAACCTCTCACTCCCCCCACGTTCTCTCTCTCCCTCTTTCCTTCTCATTTTCTAAAAAAAAATGTGTAAGTAAATGCGAGTAATATTTTAATAAAGCTTAATAGAGCATCGTATATCGAATGGACACGGCACGGCAGTTACATTAATTGATTTGCAGACTTATTTAGAAGTGTTTTAAAATGTTGAAAAACGCTTTTGATAAAATTGTTTAGGATCCAAAAACATATTTAATACTTTTCAGAAGAATGATCAAATATGTACATGTTATAGAAAACATTTAAAACACTTTTTTAAAATCTACTTGAAGTTTACCTAAAAATATAATTAATTTTTAAAAATATTTTCCAAAAATACTTCGGTCATTTAAAAGCGTTCATCGCCCACCCGAATCGCCCTATTGCCATCCCATTCTAAACGTACTACTCACAGACAATTTGGCCGAATAAACAACGTGTAGTCTTTTGACTATCTCTCGCTGAGCATTCTAATTTTGAATGAAGATTACAGAGATTTTCAAATTATGTCGTTTTATTGTATATCATGTGGTCAGAAATTATTTTAAATATTTTTATTTAAAATTAAACATAAACAGTACTTGATGAAAACTAATCACACATTATACAATAAACGGATATGATTAGAGGATCCGCAGGATGCTCACAAATGAAATATTTTTCAGTGTGACCGTCACATGAGGTAGTACACCATGTATCTTCATATAAATGGTGGGATATATGTGTTAAAATGTTAATAACTTAAAAATTAAAATTTTCCACTACTTACATAGAAACAAGTAGTGTACAATTCGTGTTCCTATCACAACTAAAAATTTATCCTCACAAAAAGGATCCGGCATTCTCTAATTTTAGGGGTCAAATGGACATGTGGCGATCGGACATGAAAATATCTGCTATACCAGGTGCTCAAAAAATTCTGATCACAGAAGCATATTCTATAAATATATGAGAGAAAAAGCATATTAAAAATAAAAATAAAAATAAAAACAAAGAAAATCATGTTCTATATCTGTATGGTCCCCATATCATGTTACACTTGAAAACAAAATGAATGAAAAATAAAGGCAGGTGCTGCATATAGCCTTGTTAGCCTGCATGACAAGGATCCTAGACACTTCTATCACTTTCAATTTTAATTGGGAATCATTTTTCTTATTCTCTGCAACTTTTTAATAAATAATAGCTGTGCAAAAAATCATTTCTTTTTTAATTTTCTTTTTGCGAACGAATTCCACACAAACATAAAATTATTCAGGTGCCCATGCAGTGGCGAAGCCAGGATTTCTCGGGGGGAGGGGCGAACTTAAAAGAATGCAAGGTTAAATTTGGAGATAGTGTCTACGAATTGCTTCACGATAATTAGGTGGATAATCAATCATTCGACGTCTATGTGCAGGGTCTGCAGGAAGATTAGCCAATATTTCATCCAAATCCAATTCAGTGGCTTCACTTTGTTGTGACCTACTTGGAATATTTGAAGGAGGATTTAAGCATTGTTTCTTATAGTATCGTTCCATTACGTAACTGTAAAATGGAAAGAAATAAAAATTCTTAGACTCTTAATCCTAAAGTAGACTATACTATTACTATAGTATGTATAATAACTAATCCAACCAACCAACAATTCAATTAATCAAAAGTACTAATAACCAATAACCATATTCGTATCAATTGGGTTAAATTTGTATCATAGAATCATAGAAGCATATCAAAAATTTGTATCAATAATTCGTATCAATTGGGTTAAATTTCTAATTCCCAATTCGTATCAATAATTTCATCCTAAAAAATAATTTCATAATTTCTTATCAATAATCATAAAAGCATATGATTCACATCAATAACCAATAACCATATTAATGCATTAGCATATAATTTCATACCAATTCAAGGAAATTTGTATTGAATAATTAATTAGGTTAGGGATTATACATTTAAGAATTAAAAATTTTACCTTTAGATGGTGATTGGTGGAAGGCCCTGTGCTGTGTTGATTGGTGGCTTGTTAGCTTGTAAAGGGACGTTGGCACTGGGATGTTGGGGAGCAGAAATTAAAGCTCCTGTCCTGTGTTGATTGGTGAAGAACCGCAGAAGGAACAAAAGCAAAGGGAACAGAACGGGTTGGGACTGACTAGGGTTTTGGGCGACACGCGGAAGCGGTCCCCATTTGTATTTTTTTTTTAAATTCAAACATACAAAACGGCGCCGTTTTGTATAACAATTTTTAAATTTTTTTAACCAGGCCCAAAACGACGTCGTTTTGGCCTGGTTTAAAAAAAAAAATAAACTGCAATCTGCAGATTGCAGATTGCCCAGAAAAACAGAGGACTTGAACCAGCAATTTCCGGCGAGGCGCGCGCGAGGGGAGTGGCGAAGAGCTGGGTCCAATGGTGTTTCCCGGCGAGGGGAGTGGCGGCCACCACTCCTCGCCCTCACGTGGCTTCGCCACTGTGCCCATGCAACCAAAAGATCAATAAACAGGTTAGATCTTGTCATACTGTTGTGGTGTGAGCCAAGGTTTTGATGGTGCCTAAGTTAGAGTTGATGAATGGATATATAAGAACACTCTAGTTTTGTGAAAGACAAACAATTACCTTTTCATGGTCAATTGTCATGTCTTTATATAGTGGTAAATTTGAGTTTGATACGATTCATTAGAATACGTGTGATGTCCTGGTTGGTTAGGGTAAGACTCGTTATCTTGCCCATTAAGTCATTTAGCCGTTTGACTTTAGAGACATGACAAAGGGAAACAATTAAGACTCCCATTTATGGAGGGAGAAGTATAGAGGGAGAAAGATTATCTCCTATCCTAATCTCTCTCCCCTTCCCTCTATTCTTACTTGAACGGTTACGGATAAGTCACATCAACATCTTATATTGGTTTTTTTAGGGAGTTTTAACGAAACACTTCCGATACTGTTCACTTTTAACGAAAAATCATATTTTTATCTTTTCCTGGTACTATTCACTACACCTTTATTTGTCTTTTTACATTAAAACTAAATTTTTTTTGAATTTTTCGTTAGTTATAAAAACAATAAGACAAAAAGTAAAATATAAAAGAATGAGAGGAAAGATAATGAGAATAGAAATGAAGAGAATCCAACTCTTTTACGGAGGCCTGTTAACCGCATCAGATATCATGGCTTGTGACACGGCCATGTTCTAGGGACTTGTCCCGTTTGCTGATCATGCAAGATCATTCCTTATCCAATAACGTTGGGCCAATTCCTCTATCAGCTAGCTATGTTTGAGAATGGATTTGGGCTTCGCTAAGCCAAGATCTCGCATGTTCGAAACCCGCAGGTGTGGAAGTCGTGGTTAAGGAAAGACTGAAATGTCTCTATGAGTTTTTTTAATTTCTGAAATGAATGGATAATCGTAACTTGCTACCGATTGTCCATTTAAAAAAAAAAAAAAAACAGTCCATTAAAAAAAAATTAGTCCATGAGTTTGATTATGCATATCAACACGCGAGTCCAACATATATATACTTGTGTTTACTTATCGTTTTTGTTTGTGAGTGTGATACTTCAACGTGGAAAGTCTACTTGTTTATAAGAGGAGAGAAAAGATCAATAAAATTAAGAAAGACTTGGCTCTTCAAGAATTGAGGAAAATTTTCTTCTTAAAGTATCTCATGACATATTCACAAAACTTTATATTTATGATTGAAACTGTTCATATAATAAATCAATATGTAAAAATTATCTCTACAAAAAATCAACTAAAACTAAGATTGTAAAGTCATCGAGCTTTATAAAAATGAGTAGATAGATTTAGTAAAAGAATTATAAACTGTCTATCCATTTGCTACTATTAATTTTCTAAAATGTCATAGTTTTAATTGATTTTTTTACTGCAATGATCTTGATATAATAATTTATAATACGAACAATTTCAATTATAAGTACGAAATTCTGAATAGATTATAAAGTGTAAGAGAAATTCCTCCTTAAACTTAAGGAGCCAAATCTCTTCTCAAAAAAATTTAGAGTAAATTGTAGCTATGATCCCTTAACTTTAACTCAATTGGAGCAATGATCCCTCAACTAAAAATCCATTACCATTGGTCCCTCAACCCATCAAAACGTGCAGCTATGGTCATTCAACTAAAAATTCATTACTATTGGTCCCTCAACTTTAATTCAACTAGAGAAACGATCCATTAACTTTAACCCAATTGTAGCAATGGTCCTTCCAACATAACTCGTTTTGACAAAATTTTTGACGTAGTTGATGAAAATGACCATAATTACACATTTTGATAAGTTGAGGGACCCTAATTATATAAATGGTTATTCCAACATAACTTATTTTGACAAAATTTTGACGAAATTGATGAAAATAACTATAGCTACATATTTTGATAAGTTGAAGGGCCAATGGTAATGAATTTTTAGTTGATGGATCATTGCTCTAATTTAATTAAAGTTGAGGAACCATTACTACAATTTACTCAAAAATTTAACACTCACTTTGATTGGTAAGAGTCATAGTGACGTGATATCTTGTAGGGGTGGGTTCAAAAAACCGAAAACCGAAAAAAACCGAAAACCAAACCGAACCGAAACCGAAAAAACCAAACCGAACAAAAAAACCGAACCGAATTGAAAAAACCGAACCGAACCGAATTCTTTTGGTTCGGTTCGGTTTTAGTGATCTAGAAACCGAACTAAACCGAACCGAACCGAATTAATTAAATTAATTTTTTTATTTAATTATTTGTTTTGGGTATTATTTTCTAAACCCAATTTGTAAGTTAAAATGTGCTAAACCCAATGTGTTGCCAAACTTTAAGCTCAAAATATTTTAAAAAGGCCTATAAAAACTCTAAACCCTAACCTATTATTTATCCCCCATATAAGGTTCCGGAACCAAACCTCCTCCAGAAGTACCTACATCCATCTCCATATCACTACCTACTTCTGCCCTAGCTTTCTTTTCCAAATGTACTCTTATATAACATGTAACAGAATCCATAAACATTTATTTCGGGTAGATTACTTTGGTAATTTGTGATGGAAAAGAATCTAACACACACTAAATAAATCCACCCACGCATTATTTTTACTAATCAAGTTGTCAACATGCAATTACAAGCAAACAACCTTGATCTTTGAACAACATCATACAATTTAACCTTTCTAAGTCATTTGTACGATTTTTGTGTTGTGAGCAGTGTTCTAAAAAACGGCCTAGGCGGTGCCTAGGCGCTGGGCGGGCACCAACCGAGGTGATTTTGGGCAAATCGGGAGGAAAAATCGGGTTGGGCCTAGGCGGCGCCTAGGCGGTCTAGGCGGGCTAGGCGGCTAGGTGGGTTAGGCGGGCTAGGCGGTCCTAGGCGGCCCTAGGCGGTCCTAGGCGGTCCTAGGCGGCCCTAGGCGGTCCTAGGTGGTCCTAGGAGGTTTTTTTATTTTTTATTTTTTATTAATTGCGTGCTTTTTTCTTTTTTGGTTTCATGGTGGTATACTTATGGAAATGGTGTATCTAATTTGCAAATGATGAATTTACTACAAGTTCATCCAATACTATGGAAATAGTGTACCTAATTTGCATTTTATCATTATTTTATTATCCATACAAGTATAGTTTTTTTTTAGGTGTCAATATGCACTTATTTACAAGATATACAAAAAATTTACCTAAATCCGCCTAGGCGCCCGCCTAGGCACCGCCTAGCCGCCTAGGCGCTAGGCGCTAGCCCGCCGCCCGACTAGCACCTAGCGTTTTTTAGAACCTTGGTTGTGAGGTTGTTAGTTTGGATTTTGGAAGACTTGATTGATGATTTTAGTTCAATTTTAAATGTTTATTTTCATTGTTTTTTATTCTAGTTAGAATGCTTATGTTATGATTGTGTTGGATATGTTAAAATTTAAAATTTCAATGTTTTTCATTTAAAAAAAAAAAAAAAAAAAAAAAACCGAAACCGAACCGAAAAAAAAATGAATCAAACCGAACCGAACCGAAATTTCGGTTTGGTTTCGGTTTTGGCAAAAAACCGAACCGATTTAAACCGAACCCACCCCTAATATCTTGGGTGCATAAGGGATTCTCTTGTGTTTAACATGATTTTAAGTTCTTTTTCTCAAAAAACATGATTTTAGGTTGATTTGAGAGAGATTTTTATAAACGATAAAATAATTTATATTAAATTAATTTAAATTCATTTAAATTACAATAGGAGAATTCGAACATTAGATAATCAATTTATTTTCTAATTGAATGGATAAATATTTGATGGATAATAATGGACACTAAACAAAACGAAAACAATTGTCACACACATCTTTTTATTTTTGTCTATTAAATCGAATAAATCGAACGAAATTCAATAAACAAAATTAAACAAAAATTATGTGGAAGCCCAAAAGTAGGCATTGTTTATCAATTTCAAGTTTCCCAGAACGTACCCATGAGGCTCTCCCCATCCTGTACTTCCGAGTCCCAACCCAATCAAGTACCTGCTTCAGTTGGTCCTTAGAGACAGAGAGAAAAACCCTCTCGGTCAGTTGAACCCAACACACACACAGAGATGAAGATCTCCCTCAAGCTTCCAGAAGACCAACAAGAGTTCCAGTACCACCGCAACCCACTGATAAAGGCAAAGGTACCCGTAACCATATTCAACCAACCTTTTACTTCTTCCATTGCCACCATTTCATCCGCCGCCTCTGCCACCAAGTCTTCCTCTCACCTCTCATTTTCTCTCTCCTCCAACTTCTCTTCTGGCCCTTCCGTCAGACTCTCTTACTCTCACTCCTCCACCGCACCCTCCCCTTTCTCTCTCTCCCTCAAGTCTGGTCTTGGCCTCTTTGGCTCCCCAAAAAACTCCCCTCTTGTTTTTACTGCTCGCTTCTCTCTCTCCCACACAAACCCCACTTTCTCTCTCCACATCAAGCCCCAATTTGGCAACTTTTCACTCAAAAAATCCACCTTTTCCGACCCTAATTTCAAACAAATTTCTGGGTCTTCCTCCGATGTTGGTGACCATTTGGATTCTGGGTCTCCTTTAAATGGTGGTTTTGGTAATGGGCTTGTCTCTGAAGGGTCATCTGTTTGGCAGGAGCTGAGGTTGGAGCCTTCCGGCGCCAAAAATGGCGAATTTAGGGATAATTGTGGAGCTCATTCGAATGGCGGAATTGGGTCTGCGGCGGAGAGGTCATTGGGTTGGAAGAATGGTGGGAAAGATGGGTTGTTTTCTGGAATTGCTGTGATGGCAAGGACTGTGTTGCCGGTCACAAAAAGTTTGGTGGTGAATATGCGCTGGGGTGTGAATCTTCCTGCAAAGTTTGGTAAAACGATGCCTTATTTGACCGTGAATAAGATTGGTATTGAGAGAGTTGAGGAGGTGAAGATAGAGGAGGAAAAGAGTTCTGAGACCAATGTGGGTGACATGGAGTTGTTAAAGGGGATGTGCTTTTGGATGAGAAGGGATTTGGAGGTCTTGGAGAAGGAAAATAGGGAGATGAAGCAGAGGTTGGAGGATGTGAAGTTTGGAGTTTCTTCAAAGCGTTTTCATACTGAGAAGAATGATGTTGTTGGGAAGAGATTGCTGCCGCCTTCGAGTGAGACTTCAGGGGGGTTCGAACAGTGGAGGAACAAGAAGAAGGTCAGAGAAGAGAATGCACAAATGGAGCAGAAAAAGCCTACCAATCATGCTGTTGATGTGGAGTCTGAATTGCAGAGAGCTATCAAGGCCGCTACCACTTAGCAAGATTCGGTATATGTGCAATGCTGAATTATTTCTTTGATTTGGAATGTATAGGACGTAAACCATGTTATCTTCTTGAACGAGTGAATTTGTAGCGTTGGTAGTATGGCAGGATTTCTCAGGTAGTTTAAATCATGAAACATTGGAAATCTGTTGTAAAGATCACATCCGTGAGGTTTATTTCTTATGACGAAAAAGAAGTTTATGTTTTATTACTTTTGAATTCATAAATTTACTTACTGCCTAGCGTCATTATATTGTTAACTGAGTTAATTGCCTTGATTCATTTTAAATTGGAACTCAGATAAGGTTTACAAGTTACTAATCTTGTTATACTGTTAGCTGATGTAAAGCGTATACTTTTATAATTTGAAAGACAGGACAAATATGGTTTAGTACTGAGTTGCTTAACAGACTGATGAACTAGACTTTGCTTTAAAAAGTAAATTAATTGGTAGGTGTATAAAGACCCGTATTTTAGAACCTATATATATAGCGCACACACACGTAATATGGTGAATTTTTTTAGCTGAAATTTTATATGTTGTGGCTTTGACTTATTCGGACTGAAACTATGTACCTAAGATCAACAATATTGTAGCCCAAAGAACAAGGTCAGTATGATCACCTTTTTCAGCAATCTTTGCTTCATTGTTTGTCTTTGTTCTTATGTTCTTCATAAAATCTTCACCCAAGTGATGTGTGAGCACCCTAGTGTGCTTATATTAATAAACATTAGGAAAACTAATAAAAATAGCTTAAAAACTTTGAGTTTTAACGATAAGGACAAAATAAAGGGTCAAATGAATAGTACCAGAATTGACTTTTTAGTGTAAAAATGTGGTTTTTCGTTAAAGTGAACATTATCGGAAGCTTTTTGTTAAAGGTTGACTCTTACTAAGGGATGGAATTTTTAAGCAGGAGGTGGAGAAGCTAACTAATCTCAGCTATGGAGGAAGAGGTAGAACCATAGAAGCGTAGTAGTTTATCCTGCAAGAACAATTTCAAACCGAATCAATATCCATATTTTCTTTCTCTACAAAAAGTAATATAAAATTAGTGGGAGAGTGGAAGTTCTAAAGTTCTGAGGAAGAAGTTCTCAAGGTCAGTTTTCACAAGTTCTTCAAATTCCAATATTTTTTTTAATCGTTCTTCATCTTGGGTGTCTAGAGTAATTCTTTTCAATTTTAAGTTTTCATGTTTTACTCCATATTGTTGGTCTGAAAACAAACCCTTCCAGTATTTCGCATCCTTATGATCCTGTTTGAAGCACTGGAAAATCAAAAGAATTTAAGTTGCAAGTGCTCAAAATTTTCTTTGTGCAGATTTCAGAACTTTCAGTTTTGTGGTTCCTTCTTTCTTCCCTATTTTCTATCATTAGCAAGCTTGTTTTCAGAATTGTTTTCCATAGGATTGAAGAGGGATTCATACGCTTTAAAGTGAGTATTTACACGAAGATTTTCATTGAAATTTGATGGGCCATGTTCAAACAGGTTCCCTTGAACCTGTGTAAAACTCTGGTGCAGATTTGTGCACATACTAATTATTTTAACTCGTGATTTCTCTCAGTCCAGAGCTCGGATTTTAACAAAATTTATATCTTGAAAATATGGTTCTTCAAGCATTCCAAAGAATATAAATTCATAAATTTTCATTGAGTTTTGATTAGTAAAAAATCTGCTCATATTCTGTCCGCAGAACTGGAAAATTATACAAGTTTTCTGTTTTATATTACAATATTCTAACTTTTGCTTTGTTTGTCATTTCTTTTTACTCCGACGTTCGGCATTAGACTTGGAGGTGCCTTTGTGCTCGGGAAAGCTAAGGAAGGAGACTTTGCTAGCTTTGGAGTCGAGGTAGGGGAGTGATGGATTAATAATTGATTAGAATTAGATAGGTTAATAATCTTTTACTTACATTGATAATGTTTATATGTCATGTCTCAATTCTCGATTATTGATTGAGTGATTTTCTTTCGCAATATTATGAATCATGAATTTGATACCCCTGATGAATATCGTTGCGATGATTTGTGTAGTTAATTATTGAAGCTTTCATAGATATTTCCAAAGCTTTTGATAATTTGGAAACTCAAACGGCACACTAAACAAGCTTTCTCCCACAACTCCCCCACTATAGCTACCCTTGCCTACAAAATCCTAACGAATCATCCTATTCCCTTCCGGCCAGATTACCCATAACAAAGCTAAAACTATACATCCCAAAGTCTTAGCTTTTGTCCCTATTTTCCAAGCACGTTCTAGGGTCATACAGCCGACCTCACTTCGTGGGATAAGGCTCGGCGGTTGTTGTTGTGATCCTTTGCAATAATCCATCTAATTTCAAACTATCTAAAGAGTTGCAGACAAAGGTCCGAAAGTTCCACTGGGCAATATAACAAGATGTTGTCAGCTGATAGTAAGACTACTTTTGCAAAGAATGCACCAGTGAGGGCGTAGAAAAGAATAAGAAAAACTCACCGGATGCAATGACCAAGAAGAGGAGGAAAACGCTGACGGCTATCTTCGATGTGATCTTTTCTTTGGAAAAATGATTGCGGCCTTGGTGGAAGGCTGGAAGCTCCCTCACCGGAACGAACCTCTTTGTATTTCATTCATACTGTAGACGTACACTATTTGTATTACATAACGACGGATGCTATTGCTACAATTAGAGGTGTTTAGTGTCGGCACTGGCCTTAGGGTAGACAACTGAGTGTTGTGTAGGATGTGTTAACCGGGTCGGAGTGTGTCTGGCAGAGAAGAGTATCGCTCCAATGGAATCGATTGGTAGTGATGGAAATCGATGGAGTTGAGAGAATAAGGGTGGATACGGTCGGGTTTTTCATAGTTGGAAACGTTGGTTATGCGATTCCAGTAGCATATAACTCTCCCCTCGGATGAGTATAAACGCGAACCAAGTTCCCAAGTTGAGCGTGATGGCTCTCCCCTCGGAATCGAAAAATGGCCACAAGCTCGCGATGATATTAACTCATCTATGATCGATTGCGTTAATACCTTTTTCTTTTTGGTGCGAGTAAAGGATGATAAAAAATTTCAAGGTTACCAAATACCTTTTTTTACTGCAATTTGTTCCACAAAATCCTTTCGGTATTTAGTTTAGTCATTGTATAAGTACTGGATGCCAGGTCCTTATTTCAACTTCCATACTTTTCTCCTCCCAGTAGCATGAGGTGGAAAATGCAAAAGTGGGCTAATGTTCCCAACTGTGTACCAATTTTCCCGTACATTGGCTAACATTGGAAAGAAACATTCGGAGTCCTTGTAGTAAATTATATGTGATCTCAATGTACATAAACACGCTAGGATTGTGCCAGTAGATTCAACACGAAGTAATTTTCTTCCTTTTATTAACATAAAGTGGAAAGAAACCACTTTGCTTGAGCAATGTGATCTGATACTCTCTTGAATCTTTTTGAATTTCATTTTTAAGCGTTTTCACAGTTAGTCGCTTATCCGTCTAGTTAACCCCGTTATAAATCTATATCCGACAGGCTAGGATGCCAAATTGCTGCGCACATTTGAAGAGACTGATTTATACTTTCAGGGTCCCTAGCTTGTTCCTATTCCTTTATCCTGGTTTTTGGTGCTTCTGTCCTGTGAGTACTTTGCGAGGCGTGTAATTTGCGTTGTAATGCCATGTGCAGAAGCATTCCTATATACCATAACTGGAACCTCATTACCTGTGTCTTTCACTTCTTTCTTTCAGATTTAAATGAGCAAGATTGGTTTACCAACATAGTCATACTAATGGTGCTCCTTACCAGACTAAGAACACCGAGGTGGCAATGGCCGAATAGAAGATCTCTACTATTATAAAGTCAGACCGTCCCTAGTTAACTTCACTAAGGTCCTCCAAAATTAAGTTTTACTGAAAGTACAACCGCTTTTAACTTCACTAATTGACTTTATCATTTGGATACCTGATGCAATGTTTTAGTTTGGATTGTTTGGAATGCCTGGATTTTGGTTAAACAATATCAATGAATGTCCTTAGTTTGTAGTTATATTTCTTCATGTCCTTACTTCCATATTCTTCATAATTGCATCGATAACGTTCTAGTGTTAGATTCTGCGTAACCAGTTTGTTTACATTCAATGTCTATTTCCATGACTCACCGATGAAAAATAGATACAGAAAAGGGGGTCTAAGTTGCATTGTAGTCGACAACTACGTATGCCTACGACCTGCAAGCATAACTTGATTCCGAACAGCTTCGCATTCCCGTGGTCTCTCTCTTTTCAATGTCGGAACATGTTTCACGTTCAAATCCTCCCTCTCCCGTTAATCCGATAACAAAATACTTGCAGAGATGGGAATTAAGTGCAGAACATATATTCAGAAGAAAATCACCAAAGTCATGAGTTTTATTGTACTTGAATCAATTTAAATTTTAGTTTAGTGATTATATCCGCTCATGTTTGTATTCCCCTTTTCACAAATAAAAGGTGTCAGTAAGCTAGTCTACGAAGGGTGACGCATTAAATGTCTGGTGAAAAGGACCCAAGGCTGAGGGGTTCACTAAGGGCCTCTATAAAGGGTGAAAACCTCCATTATGGGGGTCGGACAAAAGAGAGATAATTGATATATTAGTCGAGTGCTACTTTTAGTCCTGCAGTTAATTAGATTCCTCAGTATAATGAACGTAATCCAATTTTAAGAAGTGAACTACTTGCATCATTGTACCAGCTTTAAAAATAGTACTTAACCAAAAGATATAAAACCTTCAGTAGTAACTCGCTTGTCGTACCTTGCTCATTGCTTAATAATAAAATTATTAGTGCATTCATAAAGAATAGAGATCAAACTAATTATATATGGACACAGTATAACGGATAATCACCACACATGAAGTGTCAATAAATTAGTTTTATTATGTAAAACTTGTTCACGATGAACACCCCACAAATCTAGGGGAATTCACAATTATACCAGCCCTCTTTTGTAAACCCTCTGTTTACAATAGCTCAAACACAATA